GGAAGAGTGAAAAAAGCAGTTGGGGACCAGCTGGAAATTTGGAGATCACATTTTCACATTTCCAAGATCATGAGTGCTGGAACAGAGAGACTGAAATGCCACTTTCCTAGGAAAAGGAGGCAATCACTGAACTGCTGTATCCTGCAAAGCAAGTCACAACCTCTTCACCAATGCTCCTTCTCAGGAGCTGCTGTCATTTGCCTGTGCTGTCAGCATGGCTCTGGGAGGATCCAGGCTCAGCACAATGCTGCAAATCCTTGGTCTCCTCTGGGCTGATCTCAAAGTCAGGGCAGCTTCTCATAAGCTGATCTGAATTTCTGTGTGACCCTGGTAACATCTACAGTGGAGACAAGATGTGTGCTATATCATGACTACTTCTGGGTATTGAAGGAGGTCATGTAGGGAGGTAACCCCAGTCAGGTGAATGGGAATCCCATCTTACCTTCAACTTTTCCCTACTATGGGTCAATAACAACCCAACTGGCACCTCAGTGACAGAGTCAGAGGGATGAGACAGTTCCAGTGCAGATGCCTCAAGACAGACCTGCACACACCTGGAGGTGGAAGCAGCAAGGCTGAGCCATGCCCAACAGAGACACCCACCTCCCCAGTCAGCATCGCTGTGTTCATGCAGGGCTGGTGCAGATGACTTTGACTTGCACATTCCAAGGGGATTCAAGGACACCAGCAGGTTTTCCCAGCTCTGCATGTGAAGAGGAGAGTGTCACGTGAGTGAGCTTCTCAGTCCAAGTGGGCCACCCATAAATAAAGCACTTTGCTGATGGCTTCACCATTGGTGCTCACCAAGGGACTGCACCAGCTCACTGGAGTCTATGCAGCTCCAGCTCATCTGGAGAGCAGCATGAGAAGCAGCTTCCAGCCCACACTTTTCCAACTCTTTCCAGGAGACAGCCACAAAATGCAAATTTAGAGCAAACCTTTAGAACAAAACACCTGTACATTTGAGGGTGTTTGGGCTGACGTTTTATTACTCAGCCAGCCCTTGTTAGAGCTGTGAATGTACAAGCTATTTGCATTGCAAAACTCAAGCCTCCACATAAGGATTTGCTCCTAGAGGAGGAAACAGCTCTTGGTTAGTAACAGCAATGCAGGGTGGGTGAGTTGGGCTGGCTGGTGTGTCAGCTGCTGCCATCTCCCGGGAGACCCATCAGCCAGGGAAGCATCACCTACTTGGACAGGTTGTCCAAATGCAAACAGGTGAAGCAAGTAATGGGCCTGGCAGGCATCTCCCACACTGCCATGTCCAGCAGAAGACACCCTGGGAGGGTAGGTGCACCTTCCTTCCTGCTGGCATAAATGAGAAACTGTAGCCCCCAGAGCTAAAGGAGGAAACTGGGCAGAAGAGCAATCCATCGTGTGCAGCAATCAGTGCAGTGTTCAGCTTCAGCATTTCTCAGCACCAGCCCCTCCATCACACATGGTATTTTCTATTGATCTCGCTCCACATTTACCCTCCTTGAGTAAGGAAAAGCAACCAGCTGAACCCCAAACAACCCGGATATAATTTTGTTACAGCCAGTCTGAAATGTCTCAGATGCTGTGGTGCATGATACCATCACACAGATTCATCTGCTAAGACACTCCAACCCAAATAAACTTTGACTTCACTTTGGAACTGATCTCCAATTCCAGGAGCTCTGCCGTTTCCCTGGGCAGCCAACCCTCCCGCAGGAATTTAACCCCCCCTGGCCCAGCCACTCTCTCTCACAATGGTTCAGCTCAAGCAATGTTAGGCAGTTGTGCCCTCCAGTGCAGTGTAAGGAGGGCTGGGATGGCTTTTCCCATCACCGGTCCTGGGATGAAAACAGCCTTGACATCCCACATTCCCAGCTGAGCCACAGCCAGGAGGGGGGAGCGGACTAAGCAAGCCAGGGCTATCAAAAGCTGCTGCTTTAAAAAGGCTCTTCACTGGCTGCAGTCAACACCACGCTATGCCCCACGTCACTGAGGAACAGAAATAGCCAGCGTGAGTGAAGGGAGGAGAATGAGAGCATTAAGAGCGCACAGATTTCAAACATTCTTGGCTCGGCAGCACGTTCCCTTCCTGCCCCTGCCTCTCCAGATGCGACGGAGCACGGGGACCACTCACTGCCTGCCCATGAAGGAGGATTCTCTGTTTTCCTTTCTTCCTTTTTTTACCCCCATTTTAAGTTCCAGCTTTGATGCTACTAGATTCGTTTTAATTTTATTTCTTGTACGAAACTTCATCTGCTGGATTTAAAAAGCAAGGTTTGAGCAGGAGGAATTTATTTATCTCTGTTGCTACGGGAATGTGCATGGTACTCCTGTGTGATGATAGTGTAGAGGGAAAGGCAGGATTAGCTGAGAAAATTGCTTAGACTGTAAGATGCTTGGATGGCTGCCTGGAATAACAAGGTCTCTATTGTGTGTGTGCATGTGTGTGAGTGTGTGTATTTATGTATAAGCACAGGAAAGACAGTGACTGTAGAACGATGCAATGTTTCCCCAGTTTGCTTAATTTTCCTCCTCTAAGAGGACTTGCCTAGCTGCAGGCTCTGTCTGGAGACAGGTGAAGTCTCTGAATAGAATTAGTGCTGTAGGAATTTTATGAATGAAGCAAAACGCAGGTTCAGTGGAAGAGAAGCAGAGCAGGGAGACACGCTGTGCTGAGCTCTCTCCTGCAGGAGCTGTCACTCCACGGAACTGCATGGATCTGCCCAGGAATGGCACAGATCTGCTACAAGTGCCCAGAATACAAAGTGAGGCAGCTGCAAGAAGACAGCACCTGGGCTATGGAAACAAGCTTCTGAAAACGAGCTATCACAAATTCAACTGAGTTTGGTAGCTGAATGTGTGACCAGCTCCAGGCTTAGCTGGAGCATCCCCTGTAGAGCCATTCATTTCCAACCAAGTGTGCAGGTGATGGTGTGGCAGAGGAGCAGGCAGAGGTCCCTGAGCAACCATGTTCCCTTCACGTGTGATGGTTCTGCTGGCAGCACAGCTCACACATGAACATCGATGAGGACACCGAAGGAGCGAGTTGGTGCATGGACAGGCTGGCTACACGTGCCCAAAGCGAAGCAGGAGTGAATTGCACAGCACAGCAGGGGAGGGAGGAGGTAGATTGGGGTCTGCAAGGTCCAAGAAAGCTGAGATGTTGGTGAAGCTGTTGGAAACCAGATCAGATGAAGGATGTCCCAAAGGAGCACTGACCACTGCAGGACCACACTTCATCTCTCCCCTTTGGATGTCTGTACCCAAGGAACTCGGGTGGGAGATGGGCTCTGTGTCTTCTGGTTTTTCTCTTTTTTTTGTTTTTTTTCGATCCTATCCCAACTGTTAAGCAAGGAGGTGTCTCCCTTTGTCCTGGATTGCTCTCTTTTATGCAGTTTTTGAATGACATCTCTGTAGCAACCATCACCTGCAACTGATGGTAACAGGGAGAGGGTGAATGCAAGCCATGGAGAGGATGAACATTGTCCATCCTCAAGTGCTACAGAGGTCACTGTCAGGACCTTTGACACAAGGGCAGACAGAGAAGGGCCTGGTGATGTAATCCTGGTGCCAAGGAGCAAGTGGGAGGGAAGAGGAAAAGGAGTCAGAGCTGGGGCAGAGGAAAGGGACACTGAACTTACTGGGAAAAGCTGCAAAACTTAGCAAATTCCCAGGGTAAAACAAACTCAGCTTGTCCAGTGGAATGAGTTAGAGGGAGGTCTTTGCCTG